GAAAAATGAGTTAAAATAACAGTACATTATGGCGCTTGCTTATAAAACTGCTGAAAAGAAAAAAAAGGCTGTTACTTTGATTAACCAATCAGATGTTTGCCCCATTGGCCAATGCAGACAACATCTCTACTTTCTACTGTGTTCATTGGCTGATTGATGAAACATGGAGAAAAGGGAAATAGACCTGTTGCTCTCAGGACTACAGTAAAAGGGGCAATCTACTCAAAATGAATATTTGGGTTTGTAGTAGATAATGGAGGGTCCTGTGCTTCAGTGTCAACTCTTTTTGTTATTGCAGGAAGAAACTGCTGCCTTTCAAAAAAAAAAAAAAAATCCCCAGGCAATGGCATAATGTGCTAGTATGTATCGCATACTAGCACATTTTGAAAAAACGTACCATAGAACGAAGCCCTCTAGTGGTGCGCTGTCACTGCTGACAGGGCTTCCATCTTCAATGTCTTCCTCCCAGGTTTGCTGGCTCTGGTTCTTTGAATGGCTGAGCCGTGATGATGTCACACCCACGCATGCGCATGGGAGTCACGGTTTACAGCACGGAGCTCTGAAGGGATGGCACAGGTATGCCATCCATTCCACCATTCAGAACGCATGCGCAAGTGACTTCACCTGCTGAATCCAGTGTGAATATCTCCTAATCACCACAAGTTTGGGAGATATTCACTGTACCTACAGGTAAGCCTTATTATAGATTTACCTGTAGGTACAACTTCAATAGTGAAGTTTACTACCGCTTCAAGCTGACTATACACTAGTAGAATTTTTTTTAAGGACGTTAATTCAATTTCCTATCCATTTGGTAAAATTGATGTTTGTTTTCAAACAGAGACAAGACTATTCAAAGGAGTAGGATGGAAAATCTTTCATGAATGAACAAATTGCTAAGATACATTAATTCCAAAAATTGAATGTTAGCTATTTTCAAATGACATTTGTCAAACTGTTGAATGTACTGAGAATTGTTATACAGATTTTTGTATGAATTTTTGTACACATTTTCACTCAGAAATCTAATAGTGTATAGCCATCATTAAACAGATATGTAAAAATTAACTTTGGATTGCAATTTTGAGTTTTTCTGGTAAAAAGGCAGATCTGGGATCTCTTTAGTGTTGACCGCATGTCTGAAGGCTTAGGCAGCCCATACATTAGTAATATTTTTTCGTTCACCCAAAGGGTTGAATGAAAAAAGGAATACGGATAACGAAAAATAAGGGGTAGAGGTTCATATAGATATTTACTGTATCACCCAATAAATGGCTTCCGTCCAGTAGCCAAAAGATATGCATACATAAAAAAGAAGTTGTGAAAAGAGATTCACAGGAAAGTGGCTACATTTTGGACAGAATACAATACTCAGAATAATTTCCAAAAATTATGCTTTATTAAACATTAATAGTAGACAATAGGGTAATTACCCCGGTTCACCATCACCTCAGTATGAGATAATACTCTCAGACCTAAGCCCATATGAGGCTAAGCCCATATGATCATAACCCTTAGCCCATATGAGGCAATGTGGGTAAAAAATTATTATTATTATATATGAGGAGGAATAGAGCCCCAATGATGTCTATATAGACTCATACAATACAACCCCTCTAGGGCACAAGTGAGTGGTACACATCCACACTAGGCAAATGCAAATGCATCGTGGTGCAATTTAGCACATATGCATTGTTTAGTGCATTTAGGGTGCCATTAAGAATGAATGCAGTGCCCCTGCCAGAACATAGCGTGTTTTCATGTGCTGTGAAAAAGCATGGAATATCGCACACATATTCCCACTTTGCATAAGTGTGAGTGGGGCCTTAATTACTTACCTGGAGATCCTGTCGGTAAGAGCATTTCCTGTTGCAGGCTGACAAAGCTAAGGCACTGCACTGCAATAAGCAGCAGCGTTGTCCGCCTGCTGTGCATGCTTTTTCAGGTGACCATTGGGCTGCCTATCTAATAGATGTGATAGGCAGCATAACAGGAAACTAAAATACATTACAGGCTGACAACGTTACTACTAATTGCAAGTCTGTGGATTAGCTTTGTCAGCCTGCAACAGGAAGCGCTGTCACTGGCAGGATCTACAGGCAGGAAAGTTTGCTACAGATTCACAAAAACTACTTTCTTAAGATACTGAGTACAATGAGGCATGATGCAAAACATAATAAAAAAACAGATTTTTGGATTTAACTATACCTTTAAAGTTTTAACTTTAACTATTGAAGGCTACCATTTCTTGTAAGGCCTCATGCACACTGCAGCTGACAAGCACCCATTTTACAGGCGTTTGACTTTTGTTTTCTGCCCCTAAATGTCCCTCTGTGTTGGCCTATGTCCATGTACACCTAGGCTTTTAGAGGGGTTTAGAGGCAGAAATCTGAATGCACCCAAATTGAATTCAGGAGGGGAACGCTTGGGCAGAAAAAAAACATGCCTAAATGCATGTAAACACATCTAAATGCTAGGTGCATTTATTTATTTCAGTGGCCAATGAAATTAATAAATGCCCAATCGCTTGATGTGCCTGAACACATCTAGATGTGTCTAACTGTGCTTGAAAAACGAGCTTTAGGCACAGTTTTTAATGCTACTTTTCTCCATTCAGGAGAAAAGCGTTCAGAAGAGCCTAGTGTACGTGAGGCCTAAATCATTTAAAGCTGGCTGTCTTGTTGGCTCCAACATCTTCACTTGATTTTCTTCAGCCTTCTTAATTGGGGTCTTAATTGTTCTTAATTGTCCAGGCCAAAAATATGTAACTGCCGTGTATACTCATGGATGTCCATTCATTCCAGCACCAAGGTATGCTGGAAAATATACACTAAGCTATGAATGCACAATCCACTGTACATTCTAAAACAGCTTGTTAACAGGCAAGTTTGTTTTATTGCGGAGGAGATATAGCATGTCTGCTCGCAATTTTTTTTTTATTTTGTACAGTTTAGGTATGCTTTAATCTATTTATAAGACCTCTTTCACGCAATGGTTCTGATTGGGTCCGCCTGTCCATTTTCTTCAAGCGGACCCGATCGGAACCTCCGTTCCCCTCTATGGAGAACGGGCTCTGTGGACATGGACTTGTTTTCTGCCTGCTCAGCGGGGATCAGCAGACAGATCCCTTACTGAGCAAGCAGTTTGCAGGCGGAGTTTGCCCTGTGTGAAAGGGGCCTAAGTCGTTATTTTATTTCCAGTTGGAAGGGCTCCTTTAATGGACACACCATAGAAATCTACTGCCTTTATTTTTAGGAATACCGTCCCACACAATAACCTCTTGTGAATTGGCTTTTACAAATAGAATACCACAAAACCCATATTAAACTCAGAAATGCATACCCAAAAAAAACTAGAAAAAAAAGTTTTGTTATAAAACAAAAATCATAGTGTTGTAGTGCAAATAGTGCACTGTGCTATTCTTTGGTGAATTTATAGCAGATTGCAAGCTGGGTAACAGAAGGCTTGTCTATAGGTCTGGTGATGTGTTATGAATAATCAGATTCCCTTGTGTATGGCCAGATTTGGGACTGGAAAACGTAATGGAAACAGGCACATGCATACCTTGGCATGGCTACAGAACAGGGTAATGGATACTGAGAAACAAACCTAAAAATACCGGTGCGCACTATGGGATTAGTATGGGATTAGCATTGTGAGCGGTCACACTTTGATTGTGTCAAATACACATATTGATGAAGAAGTATAATAATCTAAATGAACAATGAGCCGGGAAAGGGAGGGGGGTTGGAAGGAAGGTCTGCGGGTCTGCGTAGTCCCACTGTCTACTTGCTGGAGGAGATGAAGTCACAGGATAGTAACCAGCAGAGGCTGATTCATTGTTTACACATTCGTCAGTGCCAGGATTTCTGTAAAATACTCAGCACAAACTCAAGCTGTGTATAATGTCATCCTTATGCTGCAGGCCTCACCTCCAGCCATTTTCCTTTTGGCTCCTATATACGAGCCAATATTAACTAGCAATGTAATGGATATGAGCTTTGCTTGCGTGAGTCCATTTGAGCAGGGGTGCCTATGCAGTCATAATCAACACTTTGAACTGGAGGAGTTGTTTGTCATTTTATTCAGCATGAACAATCCTTTTCTGCACATTTGTGATTCTTTGCTCACATTATAGTAGGCCAAGCCAGGGCACACGTACATCATCACTTTTGTTAACCAGATCACAGTGATTCCTGCTTCTGTGGTCCCTGAATGTTCAGTGATCCACGAGAGTTCCAGGCTCAGGCTCAGGCATGGTTAGTGATCACATATACATTATATTGCCAAAGTATTGGGACGCCTGCCTCTACACGCACATGAACTTTAATGGCATCCCAGTCTTAGTCCGTAGGGTTCAATATTGAGTCGGTCCACCTTTTGCAGCTATAACACCTTCAACTCTTCTGGGATGGCTGTCCACAAGGTTTAGGAATGTGTCTATGGACCCCTGACAAGGCCACGTCAGGGCACAACGTACATCATCCACTGAATGTTTGACCATTCTTCCAGAAGCGTATTTGTGAGGTCAGGTACTGATGTCGAATGAGAAGGCCTGGCTCTCAGTCTCCACTCTAATTCATCCCAAATATGTTTTGTCTGGTTGATGTCAGGACTCTGTGCAGGCTAGTCAAGTTCCTCTACCCCAAAGTCGCTCATCCATGTCTTTATGGACCTTGCTTTGTGCACTGGTGCGCAGTCATGTTGGAACAGGAAGGGGCCATCCCCAAACTGTTCCCACAAACTTGGGAACATGATTTTGTCCAAAATGTCTTGGAATGCTGATGCCTTAAGAGTTCCCTTCACTGGAACTAAGGGGCCAAGCCCAACCCCTGAAAAACAACCCCACACCATAATCCCCCCTCCACCAAACTTTACACTTGGCACAATGCAGTCAGGCAAGTACTGTTCTCCTGGCAAATGCCAAACCCAAACACGTCCATCGGATTTCCAGACAGAGAAGCATGATTGGTCACTCCAGAGAATACATCTGCACTACTCTAGAGTCTAGTGGCGGTGTGCTTTACACCACTGCTGCATCTGACACTTTGCATTGCGCTTGGTGATGTAAGGCTTGGATACAGCTGCTCGGCCATGGAAACCCATTCCATGAAGATCTCTACACACTGTTGTTGTACTAATCTGAAGGCCACATGAAGTTTGGAGGTCTTTAGCTATTGACTCTGCAGACAGTTGACAACGTCTGTGCACTGTGTGCTTCAGCATGTGCTGACCCCGCTCTGTCATTTTACGTGGCCTACCACTTGGTGGCTGAGTTGCTGTTGTTCCCAGTTGCAAAAACTTTGTTATAATACCACTAACAGTTGACTGTGGAATATTTAGTAGTAAGGAAATTTCATGGATAGATTTATTGTACAGGTGGCAACCTATCACGGTACCATGCTTGAATTCAGTGAGTTCCTGAAAGCGACCCATTGTTTCACAAATCTTTGTAGAAGCAGTCTGCATGCCTAGTGCAGGCCATAGACGATTTGTTTATCGGCCGAAACATTGGTCGTTCTGTTGCCACCAATGATTGCAAAAATCGGCTGTTTTTCGCAAATTTTCCAGCATTCCATTACACTAGCAGCTAGGGCTGCTGCTCCTTTGAAAAGTGATTCACGCTTGGATGACTTTTCAGAGGCATTTGACGGTCAGTGAAGAGGCAATATGTCGCCTCCTCACTGCTTTAAACACCTTAAATTCTGCAGTACCACTGCATGACTTGTTGCCACATTCACTTTGATCCTGGCATGACCGCAAAGCAGGGAATTGTAGTTGTGGCATGTGTGGCCACTGCATTTGCAGATAAAAGTACAGCTAAAAGCAAAGAGTTGAGATGGATTAGAACACCTGTTAGGTTTTCATTGCTGTCTTTGCTCCCATTAGGGAGATTCATCCTTTCTATTTATCCTGTTTATCATTATCATTGAAAGTAAAAGAAAAATCCCACATTTTTGGTTGTCCCCAGAAAAGTAAGAAATCTTCCAATGGGGACGCTAGTTCTGGTGACCTGGAGGTCCCCATGGAACTCCTTTTAGTTGCAGGGATTTCTTCTCACTTCCTGGTTTGGCTATGGGACAGGAAGTGAAGGGAAATCTCCCCAATGGGACACAGATGGCAAAAAATAAAATGACAGAGATCATAACCTTCCCTTACTCTATCAAAAATGAAAAAAAATTAAAAGTTCCCATAGTTCTACTCTAATTGGGAGTGGTTGTGTGGGCAGTAAAAATGCAGTTCAGCCACTTTTTTTGATCCCCAACTGCAAATATAAGCAAGCCCTTAGTATCCTATGGTTGTACTTGAAATCCAGTAAGCCTGTAAGTTCCTTGAAATCTGCAGTGTTATTATCCCCGCTATAAACTACAGAATACCTTACCCCAGCCCCTCCACCCCCCTTTCCCCCACACCCATGTAATGGCATAAATGAGTGTTCTGTGGTTTTGAACACTTTTTCTTTCCTAGAGTGACAAGGTAGCTTTTCCATAGATTCAGTATAATAAGTGAGTGTTGTTTCCCTAGGACAGGAAGTGTGTTACTGGCAGGATCACCAGCTTAAAATTTTGGAAGAAAAGGTATGCAGCCCCCACATCTGAGAACTGGTGCAATATTGCTATATTCATGTTTTTGAACACTGTTACATATAATTAGACATTGCTGTGGTCAGCTTTTTTGGGAACACTTTCTAAACATTTCAGTCTTGTAGTGCGCTAAACAAGTCTTTGAATGCCAATCCTGTGTTTTATCAACGTATGTCTCAGGCAATCTGCTTTTCGTGTCATTGGTTTCAAGAAGCAATCAAAAAACCTGCAAAAATTCATATGCTTGATGAATGCCATTTATTTATGCCCATTAAGCAGTATCAGCCACTTATTAATAAAATAGCCATACTTACATTGTCATACACAATACAGTCTTTATATAGCAGAAAAAGTGGTCCATTGAGCAAGTTCTTTTTGTTTTTAACCTTTTCTTTTTGTCCCAAGCATGTTTAAATCCAGTTACTATTGGTTGACCCACTATCCTTGCTGGAAGCCTGTTTCAAGTATCTACTACTCTTTTGGTAAAATAAAATTTCTTGTAACATCATTCTTCAACTTTCCTCCATGCCCCTGTTTTGTTTTGTTTTTTTTGCTCAGTTTTATAATGAAATGCTGTCCTCTTGAACCTTATTCACACAAATAATAAAATTGCAGGTTTTAATCATGTCCCCCCTTACCTTTGTTTACTTGAAGCCATACAAATTAGGTTCCTCCATTCTCTCCTGATATGATTTACCCCTCAGGCCTTGCACAGTTTGCTCCTGTTAGCATCTACCAAACAAGGGCCTGCCTGGCTGAATGCAAATTAAATGGATTGCATAGATAGGCCCTCACATTACAAAGTGCTAGTGGCCATAAACATCAATTTGTGGTTAATCTTGGGGCAATTGGGTGAATATTGACTGAAAATACAATGTATCAGACATAAGTTTAAACATTCCATTAAAAATGATAATTTAATCTATCTGTATTGTGATTGGCCCTCCAACATACACACAGATATTTGTCTGATTGATTGGTATTGATTGACAGTGGCCGATGGCCCTTCCAATAAGCCCAAATTGAGGAAGAGCTCATCAGAAGAGTTTATGATTTTTATTCGGTTAGATCACTTTAGTTGCATAAAATGATCAGTTGGATAATCATATTGATACAGTACATGTATGGCCATCATAAAGGAGAGACCATCCTCCATCATAAAGGAGGAGTGTTTAGCTAGCTTTAGGTTATATACTCACTGGATATGGTAAGTGTATTCATGTTTATATATTATCTGGAGGCTCATTGGGCCAAAAAACTAGGATGTCTCCTCTGACTCAAGTCATCTATAGTATATTCTGAAAGTTTTATTGCCTTCAGTACTTGCTGTATCTGTTTCATTTCCCCATCCCATGACAAATTAATAGTCGTTAGGGTGGTGTGCTTCTAAAACAAATAAGGGTATGTGTGTGTCACTGTGCTAATCCGCAGTGTAATCCTTGCAGTGGTTTTACTGAATAGTTGGGGCCCCAGGGTGCCCTGCCTCCCACATACCAGCAATAAATGACTACAGATGAATAAAATTGAGTAGATTTTATCATCTGTTTGCCGTGAACCCTATTTACATGGACAATATGCTGCGTCACCATACGATATTTGAACTCTTGAAATTTTGCCTTTAAAAAGAAAACAAAATCTAATTGCCTTCAGGCAAGATCCCTGTTTTTTTTTTCACATTTTGCTCTTTCCAAGTCTAATTCACATTCTAAACATCCCCGCCCCAACAGTTACTGCTTCATTCTCCTGGTGAGCAAACAGAAAATTATTGGCTTGAAAGGCCACTCATTAACGTGTTTGTCTGGGAAGAATTCAACTTCACCTCTTCCAAAGACAGATTATCAAGACAGGTTCAGTTTATGGAAAATGGCTGCCCTCCCGCCAACATGCTGCTCTTGTCTGGAGGTAGAAGAAAAATCTTGGTTGTAGTCAAAATGTGTTAAAAGTAAATGGGTATATGCTCAGGTTTCTGGAAAAAAAAAACCCTTTATGTGTCTTTTAAATATTAATTTCAGACTTCAGGTGTCAGAGAGCAATCAAACGCTACCGATTGCTTACGTTTTTGTGATAAGTCAAAGCATTTATCAAGCAAATTAGCTACACAATTAAACCAAATTAGGCTGCTCCTCATTTAACAAACTCCATGCATTTTTTTTTTGTATGTGGTATCCCTGCACAATGGACACAGGTCTGTGATAGAACTACTACTGGAGATTAGATTTCTGCATTTTCTAAGATTTACGGTAAACCAAGGTAAACATATGTTAGATAATAAGCATTGTATGGTCAGAGGGCAACAGAGGAATATTTATCGTAACTGTCTATGGCGGCTGTTCTCAACCAGGGTTTCTCTAGGGGTAGCTAAGGGTATATTGAGCTGTGGATAACTGACCTCCCATCTGATGGTACCTGCATAGCTCCAGGTTCAACACCACTTTGCAAGGTCAGCCGCATGACTGCAAGGGTGTAATTCTGGCCACCCCTATAAGGTGGACATTCTTCCCACTGGCCCTGGATAGATTAATCTCTGATACCTGAAGATTATTTCAAGGGTTCCTCTGTGGTAAAAAGTTGAAGAAGGCTGGTCTATGGAGAGTCCAAACAAATGATTTCCAAAGATCAACCATGAAATCTTTCCTACATCTGTTACCAAAGATAGTGTGTGCATAAATCGTTTTCCCAATTAAACCACATATAACTAAGTAAAATAAAGAAAAAAAACCCAGAAACATAGAAAAGCAGAAAAAGACCAAGTGGTCCATCGAGTCTGCCCATGTTTTTTGTTTTTTTTGTTTAAGTTATGTGTTTTTGTTTGTCTGTTTGTTTTAAGCATGTTTGAAGCCACTTATTGTTGACAGACCTCTGCAGAAAGTCTATTCCACGCATAAACTACCTATTCAGTAACATAATAATTTCTAAGATTCGTTTTAAACTTTCCCTTCTGTTAGTTTGAGGTAATGTCCCCTTGTTCTTGATTTTGCAACAGTTGGGAGAAGGCTCAAAAAGCAAAATGAGACATTCCAAACTATTGGTCAGCAGAGTATGATTGATATCAATTCTACAGTTAGCTTACATCAAGAGGGGTAGAAGAGGTTTGAAATTCATATGGTCAATAGTGGTCCTACAATGCTCATACCTGCAGGAACTTATGCATTCTATCTCAGATTCTGACCACTAGGTTCTGCATCATTCTAGTGCATCTGAGATGGAACCTTATTTGTTCTCCACTGAAGTGGGATCAACCACTTATGGTTGCCAATTTCTTGAAATTTTGGGGTATTTTGCGGGGAGAATAGATTTTTCTTCAAGATGAGACAGATGGCGCACAATTAGTGTGGTCAGGCGCAGGTTTATTCTGTTGAAGTGCTACTGTAGAGTAGTTGAGGGAGGAATTCATAAGAAAAAGGTACAATATTAAAATAAATCTGATTCGTTGCTCTTGTTTTGAGATGCCTTGGTGTGTGTCCCGCACAGCCAGGTATTTAGTGACCACTTAGTGATCATATCTCAGTAAAGTACATCTATGAAAATCACTCTTCTTTATTAAACCATATTAAAATGACAAATCATTACGTATTTTGGACATTTCATCCTCAGTAGTAGCATAATTAGGCATCATGGCTGCAGAAGTACTACACAGAGGTGTTGGTTTTCCACATTTCTGAATGGATTTGATATGTACACTCCATGTCAATCTGTAACCTACAAGACCTCTTCCCTAATTAGTATCCCATGGGTGAAACTTTTTATATGTATTTTCACATTTACCAATATAAGAAGTGAAAGATCAATCTGTATATTACCATCACAATGGTAGAAGGAATCTAGAATGGTAAATCTGGCTTGATATAAACTAGTTTAATCATTTACCATGATGGGGACAGTGGTCTGAAAGCTGGCCAATAAACCCTACTGATTCTCAGGTTTCCTTATCCCAGT